CCTCCCTCCCTTTTCATTCTTATTACTTGCTACTCAGTGTAGGCTGCAACCATGATTGGTGCAGGGGTGTTTTACCTTTCGTCATTGCCATCTCCCTTCTCCAATCTGTACTGTAATATACTGCCAGTTCTGATCGTGGCCTTTCTCTATCAAAAACTTCTCAGGGCTTTCCAGTGCCTGCCACATTTATTACTTGTCTGGATTGATTTAAGTTTGCTATTATATAATTTATGGCTCCAAGTTACCTTTTTAAGTTGTATGTGTTTATTTTTCCTTTAATTTGTCCTGGCAAATTGAAAAATTTTTCCATGCTTTTTTCCCTGCAATTTTTTTTCTCTTCCTTTTTTGGTCGTGGGATTCATTTTATAATGGATCTATTTGTCAAGAAGAGTAGCACAGATGATCAATTTTGAGCCCTGGAGTTGTGGATGAAAAAAGGCTTCTAAGTAACCTCACTGGGTAATCGGATCATAAATTCCTAACTGGACAGGTCATGGTCAAGCCCCAAGCATATAACTATTTTAGTAGAAGATTTTATCTTTGCCTTAAGCAAGCCCTGTCCATTGTTTCTGTGCTCAAACTCAAAATTTCTCCACAGGTTTGGACTTTTTTTTTTTTTTTTTTTACTTGACAGTATCATGCAGAGAAATGATCAAAACAGCAATAATGATCTTATGAAAACGGTGATTTCTCTTTTGGGGTCACAGTATTCACAGTGACAGCAGGAGTCCACATCTACCATGACAGCAAAGCTGGCTAGAAGGGCTGAGCCACTGAAGAGTGCCACTCATCTTTTATGCAGAAGCAGTCGGACCCAGCTCTGCTGGGCGCCCCCACTACCCTGTTGCTAATCACAACTCATAATTTTGCTGAATCTGATTTGACTGCAATGACTAGCCTTTGTATAAAGGAGAAATTCCTCAAAATATACAGGCATTATAAATTGCATATTTGATCGTTGGTCAAAAAATATTTCTCCCCTGTGACTTTGATTACTGAATGAATGAAAGCCTGGTGATACCGCTCTGGTGTTTTAAACTATTTTGGATAGTAACAGTGTTTTTTATTAGTTGCCTCATTGAGTTTTGATACCCAAAGTTAAGTTTTTACTTCATTAACTTTCTCTTATGTTCCTCCATCAGGGGTTTTTAAGCTGGGATCTGCAGATTGAGCCTCTATGGTAGATGGAATTCAAGTAGTCTGAAGTTGGTTGGGGTAAAAAAATGACATCTTTCAACCAGCCTCTAAGTAAAGTTTAGAATTTACTTCAACTGTGAATGTAGGCAACAAACTATAGTAGCATTAGGAGTACCCGTGAATACATTTTCATATCCTGGTACAGTGCTAACAGCTAACTCGAAATTGTTTAAAATCATCACTTTGAAATTACTGTGGTTATTACAAGATCTTATTGTTTTTTAAAAGCATATTATTATATCCAGTTAAAATGTTTTGACAGTTATTCCACTGTATTTTTTCTTATGCATTTAAAAATGCATTATTCTGACAAGGGCTCCACAGGTTTTACCAAACCACCAGAGGAATCTGTAGCACCAAATTGTCCCACAGACTTCCACTCCTAACTCCTGTACTTCTGATGTGAGAGTGAGGTTAGCCAGAACCTGTGATGCAATGCAGCACACAAATCATGTCACAGCGTTATGTAATCATGATGTCACATGTTATGTAAATCGTTTGGCCATTGACTTTTGTGTACTAAATCATTATAGAGTCTGATCTCACAAATGAGAGGAAACAAAATGCAAAAGGGAATACAATGATTATCACAAATTCAGGCTGAATAATTTTCCTTTTGTATTAAGGAAGTATATGTTTATATTAACTTAAAAATACTGTTTCCAAAGGAGTTCTATTTAAGTGCCATAAGTTAAATAAAACAATGGGCATCTTGACCGATGTGGAGAATTTTCTTGCCCTCTTTTGGGCGCACCAGCAAATATGCTTGAAATTGCTTCAAATCTTGTCTTCAGCAGCTTCCCTACCTTAGATATGAGCTTTTATTTTGCTCAGCTAGGGGAACCCTAAAGAGGTCAATGAACCTCAGGTTCGAAATACTTGCTCTGTTACTCGGAATACACATCCGTATTATCAGTCTACTGTGGGTGTATAATGTTTATATTTATTACTCTATCACCTAGAAAACGACTTAATAAAGGAGAAGGGGTTTAACAATTACAGTAGTTTCTAAGAAAATAAAGCACTCATTTGAAACCTGTATTTCTAATAAAGGCATTGATAATTATCTTAATAACACATAGCCTTAAGATTTATACATATTGTCAGCAACGAAAAAGGCTATGGAAGTTTAACTGTAGTATATTTTGAGGTAATAATTTCTTTTTATATATCTTTAGTGTCTGTGAATATATTCTAAAATATGTAAACATTTGTAAATGGTGGATAATGTTTTAATACTAGACCAGCAATTTTCAACCTCTTCATCTCATGGCACACATAAATTAATTACTCAAACTGAGTGGCACACCAAAAAAAAATTTTTTTTGCCAATATAACAAAAAAAAGAAAAAGATGTAATTTTGATTCATTTTCACAGGATGGCTACAGTTGTGTTGGTTGTTTTCATTTTCTGATTTGGCAATCTATGGTAAAAGAAGTTAGTGCCCCTGACTAAACAGTCAGGTATTGCATATTTTAAAAATTCTTGTGGGGCACTGGTTGAAAATTGCTGTACAAGACAATACTCAACTTTAATACGCGTTTGCAGTTTGTCTGTTACTAAACAAGAAAACAGCTTAGTTCTTTATTTGACATGAGGATCAAAGGTAGCATAATAATGACATTCAGTGTCATTCAAGGGATATTTATTAAACAATTACTGTGTGTACAAGAATTTACTAAAAAGAGATGGAAGATATACTTCAAAATACGGTTTAAAAACTTTTAGAATGAGAATAAAGAAATATCCTTTGAAAAGAAACATTATATCCTAAGTCTCTCACAGTGACTGGTAGCCATTAACAAATTGCTGAATACATAAAAATTCACAACTCTCTGGTCTGTTTTTTCTCATATCCAAGTCCCATCTTCCTATTCCTCATCTGCAACAAAACCAGAATGGCCACACAGGCATTTACATACTACCTAAATCCTGCATAGAAATGCAAATTATGGATTGAAAGTACAATAGGAACGAAGAATATAAATTGAGAAAAGTTGTTACTCAAAATATCAATTTTCAGATATCAAAAGTCATTTACACCCATTTTTATAATTTTAAAGAAAGCTCAGGAGTGCCAATCTGATTAAATGGGAGTCAAAACACATTAATTCCCACCCAACCATTAACAAGATTTCAGAACTAGGATAAATCACACCCTCTCCAACCTCAGTTTCTCATGCTGTAAAATAAGGGAAATTCACTGTTCATTAAGATCTTTTCCAGAGTTAATAGTATATGCATTAATATTTAAAAGGCTAAAAGATATGTAAACAATTGAAATACTAATCTGTTGGTTTCATCCTATGGCGGTTATGATTTTTTTTTCCTTTTTAATCCGTTTAGGCATGTTATAGCTTATTATGTTAAGCTTACAACTAAACTTTTAAACCTATTCAGCTATAAAAATCTCACAAAATGCTCCCCAGACCAGTACCTTGCATGTTTAACAAGGGTCACTGCAGTCTGATGGAAGTACAGCATCTAGCTAAACCCTCAATTACTAAAGTATGCTCAACTTCTGTTTAAGTATTGCCCACTACCTGTTTTAAGAGCTAGATGTCTTGAGTTCTTTTTAGGGAGATTTGAAGGCAAACTGTACCTCAGGGTGTAAGGCTTGGATTTATGGGTATTATTCAATGCTTACCTAACAAGCTTAAGATACAAGACTCTGCTTCACCTCACTAGGCTGAGTGAGAGCTGACATCAAAATTATTAATGGCTAATTCCTCCTACTCACACTCTTCCCAAGCTCTCCCACAATTTAGAGTTTGCCCTGTCACAACATTCCAGTAGTCACTAATCTCACGTTTATTTTATCAGGGCATTGACATGTACACGTTTTATTTTGAAACCAGAAAGTTTGAAAAAATTTTCAAGTCTGGTTGTGATAAAGTAACTTGTAAACATTTTACTGTTATCAGTGGACGCCCAGTTTATAAGCAGACACTGGAAACTCGGCTAAAGTAGTAAGACGTTTGTAAGATAAATCAGAAACTAGTTTTAGCAAGTGTTCGCACCAAATAAGACAAAGAAATGAAACGTTAAAATGCACGTGGAAGAAAACGATGTACTTGGAACAAAAAGCATGCCTCTAATCAAGTGTAACGCTATCCTTCAGATTCCTCTCAACAGGGTTGCCTTAAAGACCACGAGCGCTGCGGCTGACGTGCTGCGGCCACAGGTTGAATGACAAAGAGCCCCCGTCAGCACTGTCCTCTTGGCAAAGTCCACTCGAACCCTGCAGTCACGCCTTGGCTGCGCGGACTGCAGATTTCCAAACAACTTATCGCAAGTTACCAGGTGGGACAAGGACTGGCTGGCTGAGGAGGTTGGGACGCGCATGCCACGAGTCCAAAATAACTCCCGCCCGACTGAGTCCCTTTCCTCTGAGCAGAACGCGGCCAAGACAGTCTGGAGGCACCACGTGAATCACCCTCACGTCGTCCCTCTTTCAGATCAAAAGCATCTCTTAGGGAACCTCTGAAGACTAGCGGGGAAACGACTTCCCCAAGGTCATCGGTACCAGGACCCAACTTCTCGGCCAGGCCAGTGGCTGGCACCTGACCACGGGGGCCGCAGTTCGGTTGGGAGAGGCGCTGGGGACAGCGCCTCAAGGTCTCTCTTGCCCAACGCGGCGCTCTGGGGCCACGCGGCTGCTCTTGGCCACTTGCCCCTGCCGGGCCGCCTCCCTTCCCCGAAGACCAAGGTCCCCGCTCGCCCGAGGCTCCCTCCCGTAAACCGAGGCAGCCAGGGCACCCCGGGGTCCGCGCCCAGCGCCGGGGGCGATTACCCAACTAACCGTTATGCGCGGCTCCGGCGTCAAGCGTGTGCGTGACGAGACGAAGAGGCGGCGCGGCCCGAGCTCCGCGAGGCCCAGGGCCCAGGTCGCGTCCTTCGCTCGCTGCCTCCTTGACTCTCTCCAGCCCCCACGCGGCCCGCTACCCACCTCGGTGCTCGCCAGGACTGTCGGCGCGACCGGCGGGGAGTCTTTATAACCTGCGGGAGGGGGGCCGGAGCATGCGCACAGGGGGCGGAGTCAGCCTTCCCGACCGCCGCCGCCCCCTCCCTCCTCCCCGCCCCCCTATACTGACACTCCAACCGCCACTCGCGCCTCCACAGGGTTTCAGGCGCAGGCGCGCGCTCCCGCTCTCTCTCGCGCGCGCGCGCTGGCACCCCCCCTCCCCGCCACGTGACTCGCAGCCCAGCAAGACCCGCGCCAGGCCCCTGCTTAATGGCGCGGACGGAGACCCTGTTCGCCTCGGAGGTAGTATCCCCCTCATCGTCCGAGGAGTTCGTGGAGACATGCGTGCGTGCGGCACACCGACGTCGGCCTCACCGCTGGTGCCTGACGGAGAAAGGGGAAAAGCCGCCAAGGACGGATGCGGCGCGTACCCGGGGGCCTGACGCAGGTGTGGGGGCGATGCGCACGCGGAGGAGCGGGCGGGCGCCGGGAAGTGGAGGGACCGGGCCGGGTTAGCGTGGACCCGGGTGCACCTCGAGGAGCAGGCGGAGGGGCCGGCGGTTAAGAGCGCGGCATGCGGTGTCGGCCCTGGAGCTCCCTGACCTCGGGGAAGCCACCGAAACCCTCAGGGCCTGTTTCCTGTTCTCGAAGCCGGCAGCAGCAGTAGAGCCGACCTCAGGGGCGCTTTTGGTGGTTTTGTCGAGAGACTTTGTGTAAGGAACTCTCTTACTATAGAGCCTGGCCTGTGGCATTTGATGAATGGTGGGTATTAAGCACAGAAGTCAGGAAAGCAGAGCGAGTCTAAGGGTGACCACATTGGTCCCAAGAGGTGAGGGTGTGTATATTTGAAACATGGACAAATGAAATTGCAGGGTGAGGCCGTGTTTTTTATGGACACTGAGTGTTTGGGACTAAGTATAATTATCGCTAACATCTTGGAAGAGCCGATTATATACTTAGCAATTCACCTGAATTATCCTCACAACCGTGTGAGGTAGGTACTACTGTTACTGGAAAGGGGACCTGACCCAGAGTGGGTCTGCCTTCCCCTGGCCGGTAGCATGTGGGTTCTTGACTTCATGCAGAAAAGATTTCACAATAGGAATCCAAAACTGGGGACAGTGAAACAAGAAAGGGCCTAGGATAGAAGAAGCCGCAGGAGAGAGCCTCGACGGGGTTGTGTTAGTTCACTGGGGGCTTTGGAAACAGTGTCAGGGGGTTAGCCCAGACAGGCTGCTGCTGCCCATTGCTTGCCTGGTTGCAAGTCTCGTGGGGTCCCTTAGAGGTTAGGAGATGCGTGCTTGTCGGGGAAGAAAAGGGGGAAGAGAAAAGTGAGGGAGGCGCTAGGTCCTTTGTCTTGAGGGCTTTAGTTCTCTTGCAGGTGGGAATTTTACGGGAGGTGTCAGGGTTAGGGCTTTAGCCGAATATTTCTCAGTTTTCTGGGTGTGCTCTTTTACTCTCATGGTCTCTACTGATTGGTCAGCGCGGGGGAGGGTGGGGTGGTCCAGTATTCACTGCAGCTGGTCCTCGTATCACCCACTTCATTTTGTTGCTTTTCTGGGCCTGGACCTGAGGCCCGGATGGTATCTCTAGGGAGGTGACCTGTGCCTGGCTGTAAATTGCTCAGCTAGTTTGTTCAGTTGTCTGTCTCAGTTTCCCCATCCTACTTGCAAGGAATTCTCCTAGCTTCTTACTATCCTGCCTTACTACTATTATTAATACTTTACAAATGAGGGACCCAAGGCTCAGAGAGGTTAAGTAACTTTCCAGAGGTCACAGAGTTAGTAAGTGGGCCACTCCAGTCCAGGGTCTGATTCTGTCATAAGAGCCATTGTAGGTTCTTGAGCAAGTTCAGACACCGAAGTGGATAATCATGGAGTGTCTCTGATGTCCAGGACTTTTTCAAAAATTGATTTGAGAGAGGGCGAAACATCAATTTGTTGTTTCACTTATTTATGCATCCATTCGTTGATTCTTTTATGTGCCCTGATGAGATTGAACCCGCAGCCTTGACATATGGGGACATTTCTCTAGATGGGCTACCCAGTCAGGATAGAATTTTAGAGAAATATCAAAAATGCATGAGCCCGAGCCAGGCCTCTGCCTTCAAAAAGCTTCAGAGTTGTTTGGGCAGATTGAGTCAGGCAGATATCAACCAACTTTTGATGAGCACTTGATATGTGCCCCAATCCTGTCCTTCCCCATACACACACATTTAATTCTGACACCCCTGTGGTGTTGGCCTTAAGTGTTTGTTTTGCAAATGAAGAACCTGAGATTGTGGTGGTGTGGGGATAAGGGATCCAGTTCTGAGGGCTCCCATGTGCTTTCCGCTGACCCACTATGTCTCTTCCAAAAAAAAAAAAAAAAAAAAAGCAACAAGAAAACCAAACCTTTCAGTAACAGTTCAGCTTGTTAGTAGAAGACAGTTTAGAATCTCTGGCCGAGTACTGCTTATGAGCAATAATTGCTTAGGGGAAGGCACTTCAGGACGTTGGGGTAGCTGGGACTTAGAACAGCAGTCAGTGATTTAGGCTTGCTAGGGTGGCAACAGCACTTTATGGTAGATGGTAGGAAAGGTGAGTTAAGGAGACAAACTAGGACTGATTCAGACCTGGACTTATCAGGGCCCGAACTATGGGATATAGTGGGAATAAGATGATTCCCAGGAAACCTCAAAAGAAGGCTGGTAGAGGAGCATGGTGTGGTAGATTCACAATGTGGACCTGGAAGCCAGGTTTCCTCGGTTCCAATTTGGCACTTACTAGCTCTGTGTCATTAGGCAACTCATTTTATGTCTCTAGGCCTCATTCTCTGCTTTGTCAAACAAGGATAGTACCTACCTCATAGGATTGTTATGATAACAAAATTACTATTTACTTTAGTGTCTGTAATATAGTAAGCACTAAGTAAAAGTATAACGATGGAAAACCATGAAACAATCCTAAAGGCCCCTAACTTGATAAGACCTCAAACAGTCTGTTATAGTGTCTTAGTGTTTATTGTAATTTTTTATTCCTTTTCTTGAAGATGTTCCCCAAAATTATGCATACCTGAGGCCCCCCCACATAATCTGGATCTGCCCCTAGAAGGAACTCTTCTTTTGTGAAAAGAGAATAGGCTTTGTCCCCATAACTTATTATCTCTTTTATTTTGGACAATTAATTTACTGAACTATTCTGGGCCTCAGTTTCTTTGCAAAGTAAATTAAAGGTAACATCTGCCAGCCTGAGCCGTTGTGATTCTCAAATCAGGTAGTACTTGCAAAAGTGATTAGTAAAACTTCAACAGCATTCTACAACTGTTTACAAATTAATATTATTATAATTTGTCCATTAAGCATGTAAGAGGCAAGGATCAAAAGCAACACCAAGGTTTTTATTTGAAAAAGTAGAAAATGGGTGAGCTGGCAAAAATGATGAAATGTTACAAGTAACACTCTTGCTTTTCTTTCACGTTTTCTTGCTGATTAATCCATGAGATGGTAAAGAAATGAACTACTAAACATACAGTCAGAAGTTTAGAGCTGAGAGGAGTTTCAAACTCATTTAGCATAACCCACCCATCCCCCCCGCTCCCACATTTTACAAAAATGGAAATTAAAGCCCAGAGAGGCTAGAAGATTTTTCTAAGGCTACCCATCTAATAAATGGCATGATCAGGTAGGCAGAGACAGATGTATTTGAAAAAATAAATTAATTTTTTAAAAAAATGGCATGATCAGAAGAACCAGGTCTTCAGGCTCCAGGATCTTACTGGAACAAATGCAGTCTAAAAATAAAAGAACTTTATTATGGGGTCTTCTCAATATCAGAAGGCATAGTGCTTGCTCTCTAGTAGCTTTTAGCTTTGACACAAAATTCCCCAGATTCACTTTTTGTTTTAAAGGTTGATAGATTGGATGATGCGTGGGTAATCTACTGTTTGCAAGCTTATTCAGTGAGCAAAACTTCTGAAGATTCCAAGGTAAGAGTTTTAGCTTCAGAAATTAGTAATGGGATAAACAATATTTAAGCTGTGAAAGTTACTCAATTGCTTTATGTGGGAAAGGAGAATAATACAATTACAGAGTGTTTATGCTGGAATTCAACTACTTCACTTACATTCAGTTATTCCATCATTGCTGTGAGGTAGGAAATAAGAAGGTGCTATTATTTCCATTTCATCAAACAATCAGGAAAGGATTTTTTTTTAAATACAATAATACTTAATCAATGAAGAACACTCCCCCATTTACAGTTATAAATTCCCATTTACAGTTGATAATAATAAGGAAAATAAAAATGAAATTTGCTTTTGTACCATGTATGGGGAGGGGGCCAAAAAACTCTGTAATTTATCTGTAAAAAATTGTGTATTCTTACACATTTAAACTTCAGTCACCTTCAAAGTACTCTCTATTTGATGCAATACACCTACCAAGACACTTTTTTCCACTGCTCAAAATATTTTTTTAACTTGTCAGTTTTGATGCCTTTTAGTGGTTCTGCTGTTTTTTGTTTCACCTCTTCCACATTGGCAAAACGTTTCCTTTTGAGGACTTTTTTCACCTAGGGAAGGGGTGAGATTGGGTGAATAGGGAGGGTGGGACACGGGTTGGGGTGAGGTCATGCCGTTTTTGGTTAAACACTGCTGAACACTCAGTGCAATATGGGCAGTTGAGCTAATAAATCATCCATCATGAAATGGGCAAGTGCATTGAAAGAGTCTGCAAAAGAAAATTCACTGAAGCCAAATGTAGCCTCTCACAACAGTGCCAGCTGGTACACTGTTCCTAGAACACTCATCTAGTGAGGGAAGCCTGTCCTACAAGGGCCCACTCTCCAGAAGGTAGTTCCAGTTTTTGGGGGGAGAAGGAGTCCCTGTCACATGAAAAAGAAGTTTGCCAAGCAAATATCTAGGATAAAGGAGATAATGCTGATTCTAAAAACACTTCTTTAAAGCAGAGAACTCTGATTCAGAACATTTTCCTCTAGTTTCACGTTCTGTGTCAAGTGTAGTCCTTTTACTTCCCAAGGGCCGGATCTGGATCTAAG